GGGAGCCTGCTTCTCCCTCTCCCACTCCCCCTGCCTGTGCTCTTCCTCGCTCTCAAATAAATAAATAAAATCTTTAAAAAAAAAAAAAAAAAAAAAAAAAAAGAACATGGGCCTCAGACTAACCCAACCCAGAGACTCCCAACTCTACTATCTGACCCTGGGCAAGTCACTTCCCTACTCTAAGCTGCTTTTCTCTTCTGACAAATGGAAACCACAATAGTTCCTACACTTAACCTAGCTTGGAGGGGAATGAAAAAGGGTTTCCTTTAGTGTCTGACAGTGCAATCTGTCCCTAAGTAATGTTTTTTATCACTACTGTTATTACTTTTACACCACTGCACTGCCTCATGACCAAAGGATAGAGGCCAGATACTAACTTGAAGGTGGGGCCTGGAGCCCCTGAAACACCAGTAAACTCTACCCTCAACCCCATCTCAGGGGTTACTCCTAAACACCAGAAACAGCTCAGGGGCAGCCCTAGGCTCTTGAAAGCTAAGGCACAGACTCACCTACAGCCCGGAAGAGACAGGCGCCGTCCTCCTTCATCTGCTTGATGATGAAGCCCTTCTTGTCTCTCAGGGCCTTTTCAAACCAGTGCTCCTGCTGAAGGGAAGAGGTGGGGGTCAGCAACAGGAAAGGCCTGTACCCCCTCCCCAGGGCCCTGCCCTCCAGGTTCCCGAAGGGCCCAGCTAACTGGCTAAGAGGACACTGGGTGGGGTCAAATTCCCAGCCCTGCTTGACACTCCATGCACATGGAGGAGGAGGAGACCCTTTCTTTTAGGGAATCAGTCATTGTGTGAGCAGAATACTTGCTCCCAGAAGGGTCTCATCTGTTTTCTGACCGGCCCTGCTGACCATATTGGGAATCCAATACTGGGCTCCCACAGGCAGCCAGAGGCCCAGACCCGGCAAGTACCCGGGGGTGGGGATGGACCTGGCTCTATCTCAAGGAGTTCACCAGTTCACCTGGGGACCTTCTAGCCACTTAAGGTAGGGAAGATGTTGAGGAGGGAGTAACTCGCTAGAACCTAGATCCCAAGCCCTACACGTATAGCTAGGGACTGTCAAGATGTATCCTAAAAGGCAAAACGCATACACTGTGTGATCTCACTTATAGCTGAACCCGTGTAACGTATATATGTATGTGCATACAAACACATAAAAATTGCAAAGACCATACAACAAAATATCCCTAAAAGTTAGTATTACAGAGGATTTTGACCTTTTTCATGAGAGGTATGCAATCCCTTGTCCAAAATTCCAAAACTCAAAAAGCTTTGAAAACCAAAGTCTTCCTCTAACTCATTTGCCATCATTACCTGACCTGAGCTGGCAAGAACCTATTTATCCCACTTGGAGGTGAATATGCAAACATTTCTATGCAGAAACATTCAGGTGTATGGTTATGAGGTCCTACCACAGACTCCACCAGAGGTGTTACATGACACACAGTACACACACCAGGGGATTTTTCTAAATTCTGTAATTTCCCTAAATTCCAAAGCACATTTGACCCCAAAGGTTCAGGTTCAGTGAGCCTGTGCAAATGTTTATCTTCAGACTTAAAAAAAAATAATGGAGAGATGAATAGGCAGAAAAGAGGATGTTTAGGGCAGTGAAACTACTCTGTATGGTACCTTAACAATGGTTACATGTCATTATACATTTGTCCAAACCCATAGAATGTACAACACCAAGAGTGAACCCTAATGTGAACTGTGGAATCTGGGTGATTATGATGTGTCCTACATGGACACTGACTGTAACAAACGCACCACTCAGGTGGGGGGGTGTTAATAATGGGGGAGACTATGCATGTGTGAGGGCAGGTATGGTATGTGGGAACTCCCTGTTCAATATGGGAACTCTTGTTCAGTTTTGCTGTGAACCTAAAACTGCTCTAAAAATTTAAGTCGAGGGGCGCCTGAGCGGCTCAGTCATTAAGCGTCTGCCTTTGGCTCGGGTCATGATCCCGGCATCCTGGGATCGAGCACCTCATCAGGCTCCATGCTCAGTGGGAAGCCTGCTTCTTCCTCTCCCACTCCCCCTACTTATGTTCCCTCTCTCGCTGTCTCTGTTAAATAAATAAAACTTTATAAAAATAATTAAGTCGATTAAAAAAATAATGTCCATGTGTCACTGAAAACATATTTTCCATTTCAAAACAAAACCAGAAGCAGCAGACCTTTCCCAGGCCCCTCATGCCCTCTGCTGGCCACCAGAAGAAGCCAGCCTTATCCAGCATATGGGCTAGGGACCAGGAATCCCAAACCCGCTCCTTTGGGACACCACCCTGCCAGGGATTTAGAGGATCCGGGCTAACTCTGACTAGACAGAGGGGATCACTTCTCTGCAGTCCACTTTTCCCCAGCTCAGGTGAGCGAAAATCCCAGCAGAGTAGGAAGTACAAGGTTCGGAGGCTCTGCATTTCAACCCCACCCCTGTCACTCACTCGCTGTGTGATTTCAGGTAAACTACCTGAACTCTCCAAGCCTCAGTTTCCTATCAAACAAGGAATATGTGATCTACCTCACAGAGCTGTGAAGAAGCTCAGAGGAGCTTCAGGGCCTAAAAAGGCTTGGTAAATAACAGGTCCTCGGCCACAGAAGGGGCAAGACTGGCACAGAGACCACGTACAACTGAGAGGCCCTCAAGTCCCACTGGAGTAGCTGGAGAATAGGGGATGCAGAGGGGGGTGATGAGGGAACGCCCAGCAGCCCCACCATTAGGGCCCACACCCCAGGAAGGTGTGGCTGGCTTGCCAGAGATGACAAAGGCTCCTGGAAGCCCTTAATGGGCTTCCATGGACAGCACAGAGACTCTTGTTTGTGCACAACACTCCAGCACCTGCCTCGCCTGCCCCAGAGGCTGTGGACTAGCACACTTCAGCCAGTTTCCCCCAGTCCATCCCTGCCCTGCAAGGATAGCCATCTCCCAACACCATGGTACCTGCCCCAGCCAGGGGTCACCAGCAGGGAAGCTGCAACTATGACTACAGGCCCACATTGGGCAGAAAGAAAAGTTCTAAAGAAGGGCTCATAGTAACCTCCTGCCCTCTAGCGCAGGGGAAGAGATTGAGGGGAAAGGGGATCAAAGAGGAGGAGAAGGGCTCCTACTTATTCCTCCAACAAGGGTCTACCAGGCAGCTGCCAAATCAGACCCCTACTGTAGAAAGCCGGGCAACAAGGACAGCGCAATGAATCGGACTCGGTCTCTATCCTCCATAAGCTCGCTGACTGCTGGAGGGCATGGGCAAACAGGGAATGACCACGGACAAGTGTGAGCAGGGCAGTGAAGAGTTGAACACAGTGCTATGAAACACAGAGGAAAGGACCTAACCAATCATTAAGGTTGGCACTTGAGAAGAGGTGCCACCTGATGGAAGGATTAAAACACGAAGACCTCCAGAAATGCTTGTTAACTGGGTAAGAAATCACTTCAGGGGGCGCCTGGCTGGCTCAGTCGGAGGAGCACGCAATTCTTGATCTTGGGGTGGTGAGTTCAAGCCCCACGTTGGCTGTAGAGATTATCTAAATAAATTAAATCACTTCTACCACAAAGCACCAGGGATGCCAAGAGGCCCAGCAGTGAGTCCAGCACAACTAAAGTTCTGGGTGGGACTAGGCAAGTAAACAGGGTGGGGCCAGGAAGAAAGATGAACTCATATTAGCCAAATGCCTGCCCCATGCCAGGTGCCTGATGCAAAAGGTGACTTCATTTAATTGTTCTTACCACAGCCCAGGTGGCAGTGAGCTTTATCCTCATTTTACAAAAGCAAAAAGAGCTGAGATTTGGGCACCAGCAAAGCCTAGTATAGAGGCAAAAGGGGAGGCCTCATGAGCCACAACATGGAGACATACCTGGCAGCCCATCCTAGGAAAGTCCTGGTTTGTCCCTAAAAATGAAGGAGGCCTGAGCATACCCTTTGCACAAGTAGGGCTTTGGTCCTGGGATGATCTGGGCCTGGATCTGGAGGCCAAACCACGACCCTCCTGCTGGCTTTGGCACCAGCAGCCTTAAGGGCTTTGGGTCTGGCTGAAACCCTGCCTCTCCTTTTGGGGAGAGAAAACAGGGAGGCCATGGTCCTGGGCTCCAGGAAGAGTTTAGAGTCCCAGAAGCCCCTAGCTTAGTCTCCTCCTTCCCCTGGCTGGACAGGAGCCTCTGAGAAAGGTGCCAACTTGGGAGTTGTTTAGGAAAGTGGCCCAGGAAGGAAACACTGGTGGGAGAGAGGAATGGAGGCTAACCCTGCCACTGATAAGTTTAAGCTACAACCATGCTCTGGCCTGAAAAAGTCAAGTCCAGACAGTGAATCTCACAAGCCCACTGCTGAGCCTGTGGGCAAGTCCCTCCACATCCCTGAGCCTCCACAAGGGGGCTGGGCAAAGCTCTCTGACATCAGGAGATCCCAGGTGCAAGACTCTGCAACCTACTGGTCCAAAGGCCCAAGAGAAGTTGAAGCAGACTGTGGGACCCAACTGACTTGGTTTCCAGTGCAGCTCCACCAATTATCAGCCCTGTGATGAACCACTCTGAATACTCCACAGTTTTCCAATCTGTGAAATGGGATAACAAGCTTCCCAGTAACGGGGTAACTGGAAAGACTCAAAGTCAATACATGACTTTGCCCAGTAGGAAAGCACTTAATGGGTTCTGTTCTCCTCCCTGGAAGGGAAACAAGAACACTCCTGTAGGAGGCCTAATGATGACCACCCAAAGATATCAGGCCCTAATCCCTGGAACCTGTAAATGCTACTTAGTAAGGAACAAGGGTCTTTAGGAGTGTGAATAAGTTAAGGATCTTGAGATGGAGAGATTATCTTGAAGTATCTGGGTAGGACCTAAATGCAATCACAAGTATCCTTAGAACAGCAGAGAAGACCTGACACAGAAGAGGATACTGCACATAAACAGCGAAGACGGTGTGAAAACAGGGAGAGGATGGAGTGATGCAGCCACAAACCAAGGAAAGCCGGCAGCCACCAGAAGCTGGAAGAGTACTGGATTCTCCCTAAAGCCTCTGCAGCGACTGCAGCCCTGGCAACACTTTGATTTTGGCCCAGTGAAACTGATTTTGGACTTCTCGCTTCCAGCACCGTGAGAGAATAAATTTCTGCTGTTCTAGACCACTCAGTTTGTGGTAATTTGTCACAGCAGCCACAGGAAACGAATACAACTCCCTTGAAGCACTTGCTGGTGGGAGCCATGGGGCAATATGGCATGGTTCCACTCCCACAGGATCCACCTCTGTAGCATCCCCCCAGGGAGAGGATTAGAATGAAGGCAGCAGGGGCCTGGAATTCCCCCTCTGAGTCTGGGAAGCTACTGACCCTGCCTATCAATGAATGAGCTGCCACCGAAAGGGGAGGGGGCAGGGGAAGATGGCAGCAGGAATAGCTGCTCTCGGGCAGATGTCTTCTCAGAGCCCAAGGCCAAGAGGTGTTTAATATTCTGGCCTTCACAGCTCTGTCCCAGCAAGCCTGATGCCAAGACCACCCTTCTCTCCCCCCAAAACACCCAGGAACACTGGCTCAGCTCCATGGGCAAAACACAGGCAACCCATCCAATGAAAAACAGGCGCACTGCTCTCTAAGGAGCAACACAAGCTTCTCCAGGGTGAAGAAATGGGAAAAGACCAAGGCCCCCGAACCTACTGCCGGGCCACTGATGGGGAGAGGGGAGAGGAGTTGGGTTAAAAAACGAAGATTCTATTATTCTGCAACAACAAGAAATGAAGTACTGATGCATGCTAGAACATGGATGAGGCTTAAAAAGAATATGCTAAGTGAAGCCAGATACAAAGAACTGCACATTGTATGATTCCATTTATATGAACCATTCAGAACAGACAAATCAATCAAGACAAAAAGTAGATTAGTAGTTGCTGGGAGGGGATGAGGGGACTAGAGGATGGTGATGGTACGGGGTTTCTTTGCAAGTGATAAAAATGTTCTAAAAGTGATCATGGCAGTAGGCGCACAACTGTGAATACGCTAAAAGCTACTGAATTGTACATTTTAAATTGATGAATTCTATGGTGTGTGAACGATATCTCAATAAAGCCATTAAAATTAAACAAGCCCAAAGGCCTATAGCACTAGCAGGGGAGAAGAAAGCCAAACACTGCTTGAAACTTTGCAGCATATCCCCACAAGCCAATGGGCCTCACCCAAAACTTTCAGAATGGGTAGGAGGAGTGGGGAGCAGGGAATTAAAGAAAAGATCACAGCTAGCTTCCGAGAAATGAGTCCAACCTCCCTCCTCACTGTTACCATTTTAAGGCTGGAGAAACTGAGGCCCAGATAGGGGAAGTGCCTGAAGATAGAGGACTCAAACCCAGACAGCCCGGGAAGGGACTACTTCCTGCTATAAGACTCTGTCTCCCCGCCAAAGGTATCAGCAGGTTTCCTAGATGCCAAAGCTCAGCTATTACAAAGGATTCCAGGAAGAACCAGATGATCCTGGGAAAACTGCAAGAGAAGAATCAGCCAAATTGAGGTGGGGCCAGGTCAGGTATTCATATACTCAATAACCCCAGGCATGGGTGGCCTTTTGGGGAGGGGGAAAAAAAAAAAAAAAGCTGAGAGTTTGCCTAAAGCCATAAAACAGCCAAGCAGGAGATCCTGGGGTTTGAACTCAGGCCTGCCCAGCTCCAAAGCCCAAACTTTTTCCACACTATCCCCACACCATCCAGTAGGCCCCCTGACAGGCAACCCCCAAGCTTATTATTCACCATAAAATTCACTGGACATAAAATTCACTGTCTGCCAACCCCAAGCCTCACACTGAACAGACACCTGTCCTGCCCACCAAGCTTGGATGGTGGGGAGAGAAGAAAGGGGCGGGGGGGGGGGACCCAGATTTTCCTCCAAAGACACCCACCATTCTGTCACCTCCAACTCCAGAGGGCTTTGGCGTGAGTTCCCTAAAATCCCAAAGCTAAATGACACCTCCCCAGCTCCTTCCCTGACCAATGAGGAAACGGAGACCCAGAGAACACAGACCTAGCTATTCTGGTCCATCCAGCAAAGCTCCAGCAGAGCCAGAGTGGGAACCTAGGTATCCTGACTACAGTGCCAGGTCCAGCTTCTTCCCACCACCAGAGCATGCATCTCCCCCTCTGAAAATGCTCTGTGGGGTCCTCAAGCCCAGGAGACTTACAAGCCACTCTTTTCACAGGGTAGACTCAGTAAGGCAGCCATGCCTGGAAAAGGAAACCCCTGACATTACCACCAACCCTGCACCAGGACCCCAGGGTGCCAAAAGGGCTCCTCAAGTCCTACAGTAGTCACAGCATCCGAACAAACAGGAAATCTGAGTAGTCAGAACAAGGATTCACCATCTGGGCCTCCTCTCAACAACTCCTCTCTTTCCCAGGAGATCTAATGGGCCTCCAAGGCTACAAACGCCCCAGGGGACCGTTCAGGACCAAGACTCGAACAGCAGGAAGCATCTTCCCTCTTCTCATCCCCAAAAAGTCCCAAGTTGGATGAGGCGAGGCAGGGAGAAGCATCTTATTCTCCTCTTGTCCCAAGAAGTGTGAGGACAGGAAAAGCCTTTCCTCTGTCATCAGGAAGACATGCAGCCACAGAGCTTTACTTCCATGTTCTGATGGGAACAAGTATGAGGGAGAGAGCCTAGGAGATGCACAAGGGGTGTAAGGAGAGGTCTTTCTAGTCACCATGGCAGCACACAACTTTCTTCCTTTACGTCCTTGTGCTTATTTCTGTGGAGAAAAGGCAGACTCCCCCAACCAGGAAGAGAAACAATTCCTGGTCCTGACCCTATGGGCTCCGACAACTGATTCTACCTGCAGTAGTCAAGGGTAGAAAGGGAGCAAGGACAGGGTGCTCAAGACAAGGCCCTGGCCCCTGTGAAGTAAAGAAAGATTTATCTGAACCAAGGGAAAGAGAGATTTGGGTAGAGAATTTCCCTGGAGTGGGGCTATCTCTGGCGAGAACAAAGCTTGTTGAAAGCAATTCAGGAAGCTCAAAACATTTCCCTGATCCTGGAAATGAGAGGCAAACAGCTCGGTCAGGGAGAGACTCAGGGGAGGCCTCAGCCACCACGTCCCCAGTACCTGGCAACCTTCTCACAGACAGCAGGGAAATCTTCCTGGTAAGGGGTTCTTAGGACTATGAAGAGCACCCACGTCTTTCTGTTTAATGGGGGAGGCCGCAGGCCACACTGGAGAAGACCTCATGTCCCTCTCACTGGTGAGAAAGGACTGCTGGTTGCAGGATGGTGGAGAGAGCCTCATACTCAAGGGGGGAGCTCAGGCCCCTTCCTAAGGTGAAGGATCTCTTGTCCCTGAGAAGCTTAGGCCCCTGGGAAGAGGCTCAACTTTTCCTCAGAATCCCATCCTATCCATGTCCCAAGGGGAGTAGGTAGTTCTCAGGATTTAGTTCACAAGTGGTCTGAGGCTCAAGTCCCCAAGGCAAAATATCTTATGTCCCTAAAAGGTCCCTATGACTGTGGTATACATATGCTATCTGAAGTGAGGTGACAATTACTCTCAGGGAAGACTCAGGTCTCAGGTCCTAAGGTGGGTTGAGTTGTCTCACACACCAAAGAGAAAGTTTAAACTCTTAGGGGGAGACCCAAGACCCTACTCCCTAGGCACTTAGGGCCCAAGGTGGAAGGAGTCTTTCTGTTCCTGAGGAATACCTTAAAATCCTTGAGGGGGAAGCCCAGACATCATCTCTAGAGACACACCAGTCACTGAGGTATGTATGGGTCTCTTGTCCTTGAGGGCAAGCTCAAGTGTCCTTGGCGCAATGGGTCTCAGGCCCTGAAGGCAGACTCAGATCCATGGGGAGGCCTCAAGCTCCATCTCTGGGACTCCATGCTGCCCATGTTCCCTGAAGAGTGGTATGAGGCTACAGTTCCCAAAGCAGGGATCTTACATCCCTGACAAGAAGCTGAGGCCCAAGGCGCCTGGGTGGCTCAGTTAAGCATCTGCCTTAGGCTCAGGTCGTTATCCTGGAGTCCAGGGATGAGCCCCACCTCAGGCTCCCTGCTCAGCGGGGAGTCTGCTTCTGTCCCTCTGCTCCTCCCCCACCCCCCCAACCCCTGCTTGTGCTCTCTCTCTCTCTCAAATAAATAAATAAAATCTTTAAAAAAAGCAGCAGCTCAGGCCCTTGGGGTAGGGGGTGCTCAGATCCCTGTTGCAGGGAGAGAAGGGGCTGTTATGTACCCAAGGCATGTTCTGGTCCTTTATAATTAGAAGGATCTCATATCCCCGTGTTTGTGTGTGTGTGTTGGGAGGGGATGTCTCAGACCCCCCAAGGAGAACACTCAGATACCAATCCCTGATGAGAAAGGACCTCTAAAGACCTCACCTTGCCTGGGACCTCTGTGTGTGGGGGGTATCCATCTCCTGAAGAGGCTTCAGACCCTGTCTCTGTAAGCCCCCATCCATCAACAGGGGGATCTTGGGCTCAAGTGCCCAAATCAGTGAGGCTTATTTTCTTGAAGAAAGGTTCAGGCTGGTGAGGTTGGGGGAGAGAAGAGCTGAAAGCCTATCACTTAAAAGAAGCTTAAGCTCCTAGAGAGAAATTCAAATTCTGACTCTTGGCCCCAAGAAAGTCTCAGACCACTGAAAGGAAGCATAGACCCTTGTCACTTAGAAAAGGGACGAATCTCATGTACCTTAGTAGTTTCTGGTCCCTGAGTGTTAGTTTTGGCTCTTGTCCCCAAAGGGAAGAGAATCTTGTCTCCCTGGAGAAAAATTCAGATCCCCCTTCTCTAAAGAGAATATATATACACGTATATCTCAGGCTCTTGATTCTAGAAAAGGGAGTCTCAGGCACTTGAAGGCAGGCTTAGGACCCTTAAGGAAGTCTCAAACTCCACTGCAGGGTGGTCCTAAGCTGTGCCCCCGAGAAGGAAAAAGAAGGGGGACTGTCCTGTATAGACTCCTGAGAAGGAAAAAGAAAGGGGATTGTCCTGTATAGACTCCTGAAAAGGGTTTATGTATCTTGGGGACGCTCAAAATTCCCCTGAGGTCTCCACCTTACTTGTGTTCCCTGAAGGAGGAGTCTTAGACCCTTATCCCAGAGGAAAGGAAATCTCAAGGCACCGAACACAAACCAAGGTCCCTTGCAGTCATGAGACTCCCCTCTCAGGAGGCAATCCCATCTAATGGCCCTACTTGATGAGGTCCCAGGGCCCGGAATAATGGCTCTGGGTCCCAGAAGAGACCACAGACTCCATCCTTAAGTCCGCCATCTTATCTGGGGCCTCTAACCCCCAAGTCCTTGGTGGGGGGTGGGGAAGAGAGCGCCTCAGGCCCCCACCACCAGAGAAGAATGCCAGACTCCGGGAGAAGACGTAGGTCCCTCGGGACGATCTCAAACAGCCTTCTTTGGGTCCCTACCCGGTCTGGGGATCCCACCCACCATACCCACTCACCTGTTACCCCCAGCCCATACCTGCTCAACGGTTGCGGGGTCCATAGCCTCGATACGAGCTGCAGCCGCTTCATACTCGTCTTCACTGTTATAACCCGCGCCGACCTCCTCACGCTCTGGACTGCCCCCTCCAACCGCTCCGACCCCAGGGGCTTGACGCCGGCGCTTGCTGTGGCCCGGCCCTGAACAGCAACCGCCAACGCCTACGGCTCCGCCCACGCCCACCACCACGCCCGCCGCGCCCACACCCGCCGCCGCTGCACCCAGCGCGTCGCCGGGACCGCCGCCGGGACCAACAGGGCCCCCGCAAGGAGGAGGTGAAGCCTGCTGTGACCGCGG